TTATATCGTTTTTCTTCATCTTTAGCATTACTTTCCATTGCGTAGTAAGAGGGTGTGAATGGGGTTAACCGACTAGCGACAAAGGGCTAAAAATATTACTGACTACCGACAAAACGAGTAAAAAGTTACCGACTACCGACAGGAAAAATATTAACCGACTACCGACATGGGCTGACATTATCAATATTTGTTTCAGAAAAAAAGAGCATTTTGCATTTTTTCCAGCCGTTAGGAAGTAACCTCTTTAAATTTATTACTCATCAGATGATCTAACAGAAAGAACTTACTCTTTTGTTGATACGGCTACATTACTACAACCAATATCATAATCAGAAGCCACCGTCCTTAAAGATGCTACCGACTTTATATATTTTATTGAAAAGACAAAGCTGAAAAAACTGAACATTTCTTGATTCGGTCCGAGAAATGTTTAGATTAATCCTGAAAGAAAATTCTTTCCAGTTTAATGGAAAGCACTATCAGTAAGAAACCACAGTACCGCGATGAGCACATACAGCAGTTTCCTTTCCAACATTTTCATGGCCGCATATATTGAAACACAAAGTTTAAGCAAAACCGTCTTTAAACCAACTGTTTGAAAATGCTACATAGATGACATTTTTTCCCTATGGGACATAAGTAAACCAGACATGGTAGAATTCTTCAAATTCACGGAACAAGTAAACTTACTTCACCCTACTGCTCTACTGGCTATGAAATTTACGCCCGAAATATGCGACACTGAGAGAATCTTTTTAGACCCCGTTGTGTACCAAGGCACAACATTCAACGAAAAATGAGAAAAAGCTATCATTGACGTAAAGACGTATATACATTTTCACCTCTTACCACCCACCGAATGTTAAAATGGATTTGACCAATGGATTTGGCCTTGAATATCCTACGAACAAACTCCTCTGAGGAAGTATTTCAGATTTCAAAAAGCGGTTGATGGAAAGAGGCTGGCCACATAATTTTGAAATAAAAATTACTATTAGAAGTAAAACTTACAGGAGAAAAGCAGCGCTCCTGAAACAAAACAACAAGGAAGAAAAAGAAATTTTGCCTTTCGTGACACAATACAAGCCCTTAGTGTCTATTATAAAAGAAACTTTAATGTAAAAGTGTAATCTCATACAAAACCAACCACTACCTTGCCAACTTAACCCTCAGACGTACACGCAAAATCATACCCCCCACCATGGTACAAGAGGATGGTAGATGGAACCCCTCCCCAGAGTTTTTGATATGTTGCAGTATTTCGAAGCGATTTTGCCTTCACTGAAAAGCCTTTGATCTTCTTAACAAGATGAGGTATATTTTATGAATGGTGGCACTGCTGGAGGCCTGTTAAATCACCAACGATGGTCGCCATCTTTGCCGCCATCTTGGATATTACAAAGAATTAAAAAAAAAGGTTAAAACAAAGAGAAATGTTTATTGCTTGACATGAATAAAACACATAAATAAGGACTTTGCATGATTTTAGGTATAAGATTTTTCTTTTATAGTTGAAAAAAGTTGAAAAAAAACATATATTTTCACGCAAAATGGCTTGACAACCTGCTACTTATTACGTCATACCTCGTAACCATAGAAACTGATCATCACTGAACTTTTCTCAAAATGCGTGCGAGGGATAAACGAACATCTACTGAAAACCTCAGGTACTGATGTTTTATCCTCTTGGAAAAATCCCAGAAAACCTAAAGGGGGTGGCATCCCCCCCCACCACTTGTATGTCCGACGGTTAAAGTGTTATTTCTTTGAGGAGGGAAACTTATGGCAAAGGATAGATGTGCAGCCCGTCACCCCTTGCAGTTTTTTGATAATTTAAGCATCCCAAAGGCTGGTGTCCATTAATTAATTAATTACTTTTTACTGTGCCGTGTAATCGACAGGGAAACCAAGTTCGCATTTACAGTAAAAGGTTTGGTGATCTTATCAGTACGCATGATATTCATTTGGCAAACAATGGTGAAATAAACGACCACAGGAGTCGATCGGCTCCTGACGATCATCATGTTGCATAAACAAACAAGAGTTAATGAAGTTTAAGTGGCAATCAAATGATGCATTCTTACAAGTTTTACTCTTTCCCTTGGGATCAAAGTCTTGAAACTTGGTGAAATACATAAAAAATATTAATAATCAACAAGCGTTTTTACTTATTAACTGAGATTTTCGGACAACCAACAAAAATCAAGAAGTTTAACCGACTACCGACAAAGATCGAAAATTTTAACCGACTACCGACAAAGTAACTGAATTTTAACCGACAACCGACAAATAAACCCCCCCATTCAGACCCTCTAGTAATTAAATGGCATCTTTTTATAAATATACGAAATCTTTACCTTTTTTAAAAAAACAATTTTATTTTTCTGACTCTGGATGTAGATTAATAAATTATTTCTGACTGGTTATCAAAACCTGACTTCCAGCTCACCTCGGCCATAGTATTTTTCTGATTATCCCGCGAGCGAAGCGAGCCTTATTATTTGTCATATTTTCATACCAATTTTGGGGATTATTTTTATAAGTTTTTAAGGATTAATAAATTTTGAGCCAGAAATATTTGACAGAAAATAAACAGTAAAAATAATTTCAAACTTAATTGATTTTAAACACACTAATAATTGACAGAAAATTATCAATAAAAATTTATGTGCTGAAATGACACAAAATAGTAGGTGAATGCACCGTTTAAACAGTCAGGGATAAGACAGGGATAATCGGGAAATAGTAGGGTTGAGGTGAGCTAGAAGGCAGGTTTTGATAACCACTTCAAAAAGAGCACCATGTCTCCAAATTGGTTCATTTCCATCTTGAAAGTGCTATTTTTATCTGAGTTGTGTCTTTCAATCATTTTTCGGTTGTCAATCCAAATGGTGTAGGGAAATCTCTCCTCCTCATCTGATTGGTATTTCTCTTTATCTTTGATCAAGCATTCTGAGATCGCCAGGAAGCAGCAAAGGGTGACAACCAGTGTTAGGGTCAATTGGACCATTATGTTCAACAAATACAGCTTTAATAAAAAAAAAAAAAAGAAAGAAAAAAGAATATTTAGAGATTATTGAATTCGCTTTCTTATAATCTGAAGAATTATACATATCGAGGAGGGTGTTATCGGCAGAGGGGGAAAACACCCTCCGTAATTTACATAATTGAATGAATAAGGAATCTAGAATAACAGCAGTTAGCAAAGTCGATTATTTAGGCCTACCTGAATTCGCGATGAAAAAATGACGTTTGAATTCACTTGTTTCTCTAAACCACACTTTAATTTGATGATACGAAAGGGCCTTCAAGTAAATATATGGTCTTGGGATATAATCATGTGATCAAAAGGCTATGATGCAATGAGATGATAATTATCCTATGACATCCTTCTGAAAGTAAAATGTGTCCCTCACTAGTAAACTGGGAAAATCTTAGGACATTGCGCAATTAGCTTATTTGAATTTAGAAAACATGTTTTATGACGTTTTGCGGAATTAAAAAGAGTACTGAATATTCCTGTTTTACCTTTCAATCAGAAACCGCATGTTTTTCATAGAAACAAAATTCACCTTGATGTAATCAAAAGGAAAGAGAATAACTCTTCTCCAATGTATCATTCCGAAAAGTGTGCAGAGTTTAATTTCGTTTTTAAATTAAATTTTAGGGATGAGACGGTTTTCTGGAATAAACACACTTGATTATATAAAAAGTCTTGATCCAGCATGTCGGTCTAACTTCATCAAAATAGGCCATGATCAACATGATGTCAGTATACTTACTACGACGATCTTTGAGGGTTTTGCTTTCTTCTGCAAATTAGCACGGCTTTTGTTATTTACACCTCGTTGAGATTATTAAATTTAAATATGAAAGGAAAACGAAATGGACTCTGGCGCAGTAATAGTAAAATGACGATATCATGCAAATGAGGGGTCACAGGATTTGTTCGATCAAGTTTTAACTAGTTCAAACTTTTACTTTCATCCAACATTTTTTTTCGGGTCCCGATGGATGATTTTGAAATATAGTGACCACGCGTGATCAGCATCGCAGAAAGCGATTTCAATTTCTCAGCCACACAATTTTTTTTGTTGGCAAAAGTGTCATTAATGTAAAAACTATATGATTGGTCTTTCGGCTTTGCTAACTTGCTCTAAACTTAAGAACAAAGCACTGTTAATACAGATAAAATGAGCTTTACTAATAGAAGAGGATTTTCTTAAAAACCTTCATTCGACGAGCTGGAGAAAAAACCTGTGTGTCTTTGTCTTCTAAACCCCCACCCATGCCCCCTCCCCCCCCAAAAAAAGAACCATGTTGTGGCGTAACCACCTCCGTCACAACACGCTCTTTCAAAACCTGAATATACCCTGAGTCATTTACGAAGATTTAAATTCAGTGTAAGGTGAGCAGTGAGTGTTGACGCAATCAGTAGCGTTGTTTATCTGCTTGTCGTACACCGTTTTAGCGCCGCCGCTACAAGACAGTCTTTCTAAATATAAATATAAAAGAGGTAATTGAAAATTGGGGAACCAAAGATTAAATTTGAAGTGATATATATTAGACAAAACAAACAACCAGACAAATCGTTCAGTTATACTAAGTCAAAGCTAGAAAAGACGAGGTTACTAGAAAAAACGCTTCTGAACAGGGTAACGGCGAAACGATTTATTTTTTTAAAATAACTACTGTTTTGTTTCCTTTCTTATTTTGTAGCGTAATATCTTACTATTTGAAAATTTATCATTTTTTTAAATATAAGCTGAACTGCTATTGCAAAAATGACCCAAAAGTTGACGTTTTGATATTGAAAGCGGAACTCGTCGGTTCGCCGATTTTTCTATTTTCTAACCGTACCATTAAGTTCGTCTTCATTAAAATGATGTCGATTCTTGAGAAAAAAGTTAAAAAATTAATTAATAAAAAATTAAATCAAATTTCAAGATTGTTTACAAACACCTTGAAGGAAGGAGCCGCCAGCTACCTATGTACGAAAAACATTTCACTCTCCCGTTTTGGCGAGGTAGAGCTAAAACTCAGGTTCATGATGTAATTTACTATGAAGCTAATTATTTCATTTAACAGCTGTGGTTCTGATTTAGTGAGGCCATACTAGAGTTAAGATCTCCCAACCCAATCTAACTACTGCAAGTTCAAAGAGAAAAATGCAAAATCATGTCATTCCATAGTTTTCAGATTTTGTGTTCGTTCCCCTTACTTTTCTTGCGAGTTTCGTAAAATTTGAAGTAAAGGAAAAAAATGAAAGCAATGAAAACTTTAATTGTTATTACAATCTAACAAATATAATAGTCACATCTTGTTATTGAAAACAATCTACTAAATTTATTCCAAACACTAGAGAATTACTCAAAGACGTTCTCAATCATCAAATTACAAATTAAAGCTTCACATCTCCTTGTGTTATACCTACTCTTTCATAAAACGTTCTTACTCTTCAATTAATTAACAAAAAAGATTTGAACATAACTTTATCACTGAGCGAAATTCAAGACAAATATAAGGTTTACTGTACAGTTAATATATAGCTTATGGAAAATAAACCACTCGGGTCCCGGATGTAGTTTTTATGAATTTTATGAGTGGTATATTTTCCAGTAAAACACTCGTGTCTATATAATTATATAGACACGAGTGTTTTACTGGAAAATATACCACTCGTAAAATTCATAAAAACTACATCCGGGACCCGAGTGGTTTAGTTTCCATAATCTCACACGTGAGTTTATCGATGACGTAATTTCGGTAATTTCCCTCTATTATTTTATCGATGTCATTTTGTCTATATAATAAAAAGAACATTACACGGCGGCTTGAAGATATGAATTTTATTTTCTCGTGGCAAAAACAATATTTTACTCACTATTGTTTTGCCACTCGAAAATAAAATTCATATCATCGCGCCACCGTGTAATATCCTCTATTTATATAACAGTGTCGTAATAAGACGATAAGTCCTAATTTACCACGTTGCTCCAAGTTGATCAAAATAGACCACTACTACGATGTTTTCATTATACTTTAAAAAAAATATAACAAGAAAGAAATCTACTAATTCAAAACTTATAGTATGATTACGATTATATTATTCACCCTGATGGGTGAGAACTGTATCATAACTTATTCCTATCATTTCCACGCAATATAAATGTGTTTTTCCTTTCTGAAGAATATTTTACTATAAAAAATGAAGAAAAATCAAACAAAAAGGAAACACAAAAATAAAACTCGAGATATAGAATCCGTACTCAATCATTTCGTATCTTTGATAACTCCGTCTCTGGTTATAGCCAAGAGGTGCTTTAAGGCTATGTTCACATTTTACCGGATAGCTTTGGCGCCGCCACGAAAATCATATCCGATAGGGCCTCTGTTCGCACACAAGAGCGGTTGTGGCGGCGCGATTTCTGTGACGTAGGAAAGCTGCGCCGCGCCGATCTTGAAAGTGGAGCGTCAAATATCAGATAGGTTTTGAGTCATACACTGGTGAAGTGTGAACACCCACTCGGACCGTCGAGGAAGCAATTAAGTATGTAGGAGCGAGGCCTGAAACCCTCTGAGAGGAAGCAAATATTCAGGAGTAAGGACTGGAATTGAGCGCACCAAACCCTCTCGGCCAATCGCGCTGGCGCGATGTTCGATGCGTGTGAACGACTTGCGCCTCCCTGGGTCGTTGCTGTTCATAATACTCCAGATAGCCTTTTTTGTGGCGTGACAAAAAGCGTTCCGATATAGTGTAAACAGCCTATGAGTCCCTAATTTCCCGTCAGATTGAGCACACACTACACTGACGGTCAATAGCTACACACTAACTTATTGATATATGTATGTTGTTGTTAATTTTTTATCTCAGGTAATTTTTCTTGGCTTTTTCTTTTGTTTCACTTTCATTGACATACATTACCATACCAAAAAACAAAAGAAAAACTACAATTACCTAATATAAAAAATTAACCACAGCATATACGAATTATTTAATATTATTATATATCTAGCCAGATTTTTTAAAACGTTATCGCCAAATGGACCTTTCTCCGTCCAACAGTTATTTTCGGGCAAAGGACGAAGAGTGCAACCATTGCCTTTTTCTCTCTCCCTCCTTTCCTTTTCCTCACTCTTTCTTTTTCTCCCTCCTTTTCCTTCGTTACTGTAGTTTTGGAGCTTCTCGGCCTTAAGAAACGTCTGCCTTTTGACGCCTTTTCACTCGCATGACTTTTAAAAATATTCCGTTAGGTATATACAGCTTTACATGAATCGGTTTGTTATGAAATGTTTTCTCAAACGCCTCAAGCTTGGTTAATGATAAATTCCATGATTTATTTCTCAGGCTAGACACAACACCTACAAGAGAAACAAAACCACTATTTTAGACTGCTTCTTCCCACCCCCCAATCCATACACAGAACCACAGACACACACACACACACCCTTCCTTGGTATGTTTGAAGCCAAGATGGCTGCCTGTTATATTAAGCTAGCGCTGGAGCGCGGCAATGCTGGTGTTACGAAAAATAGGGGACTGCAAACAATCTAAGAGATGTTTCAAGCTTCTCACCGGTTTCTGAATGTAAGCTCATCAAGCTTGTCAGCCACCTTCTGAAAAAGGAAGAGGGAGTAAAGAGTTATGTCAGTTGTTATAGCAACTGTTTGCGTCCTGGTCTCTTCTCTCTACCGGAATTGGATTTTTTTCACCCTAGTTTTTCTTTGCTACGCGACGACAAGTGGATAGATACACAAGTATTAAGAATACACTCAGAAAAAAAGAAAGGTTTGCTTCAGATTAAGAGATCTATGGTGGTTCACAATGAGCAATAAACAAAAGCAAGCGTCAAAGCTACTCTTTTTTAACTTTTCCTTCGGAGCTACGCCGTAAATGCATCGCTAAATGTAAACTGAAAAGCTCAATCCTTTCTTACCCTTATTTTCTGAAATCAAGTGTTACGTTATCTCCAATCAGCATAAATGGTGCCCATTGCCCCACTTTGGAATAGCCGTTTTCTCTCATCCACTTCATGGCCTGGTGAAGAGATTCACTGGCACTTTTCCCACTAACAAGGTGCTCGTAGAAACGACTCATGAACTGCTTTGTTGCTTCGTCGTCTATGGCCCACAGTGCCACCAACACTGAACGTGCACCAGATCCCAGGAACGCATGAGCAATTCCAACAACTCCCTCGGCACTGACGTGTCCACTTGCACTGTGGCAACAGCTAAGGACAACCAATTTTGCTTGAAGTCGAACTTGTGAGATGTCGGCCATTGTCAATATGTAGTCTTCCTCTCTCGGTATCTCTTCTTCTCTTGGTTTTTTCTCTTCTCCTGATTTCGAATAAACAGGGTGTAGAGGAGCAAGAATGATTTCTCCAAGTTGTTCGTCACCATGACAAGCGAAATGAATGAGGCTGACAGAATTAATGCTTTGAATAACCGCCTGCTTGGTTGCTTTCTCTCCTAGCAAAGGTTGAACTTGGAGTAGCTTACCAATTATCTCTGCTTCCTCCCTTGCACGAGGAAGTGGATGTGGCTGGATTTTTTTGCCTCGCTTGTTGCGCACCAGACCAACATCAGGGTCTCCTACAATCAGTGCTCCAGTTTGGTTGTGATTGTCTGCCGGGGTGTCTTGAACGAGCTTGAGGGTCAACAGAGAGGGAATGATGCGGATCCTGAAGGACTCGGATAAGTATTTACCTCTTTCATCCTCCAACGCTGCAAACGGAACTTTAAACAAGCAGCGATCGGGAACAATAATGATTTCAGCTGCATCAAGGCAGTCAGCTACGGGTTCGACAAACATCTTGTAACACTCAGCAAGAGTAGGATTGGGTTGCAGCTGGCCATTCTCTTGGTGGTCTTCTGCACGGAACTTTCCAAACCATATAGTTTCAAAAACGTCGTCCACCAATCGTGTTGGTTTGTTAACTTCCGGTGCATTGTTGGCGAGACATTTATTGACATCGACTTCTTGGAAGCGAATCAGTTCGCCTGCCCCATTGAAAAGCCACAAAAATAGAGAATTGGCAAAGTAGGAAATGTACAAAAACGAAGAGTTACTTTCATTGATCATGCACTTTTCAAAATCAGCCCATAATCGTTCAAATGCTGATACTTCGCTTTTTAAGGAGTACTGAACTGACATTAAATCTGTGAGGGCTCTGGCTCGTCCAAGCTCTGCAACTTGAAGGCCTTCGACAGGTTTCCCTGTAATGCAAAACAAGGAACTTAAAACGCGGTATTCGAGAATATGCTGGTCAAATAATGTTATCTTTAACTGGCTTTCGATGTTATCTTTCAGGGAACTTCTTACATCCTCGAATTTGGCAATACAATCCAAAAGATAGGAGCAAGCTTCCTTCAGTTTGCCTTCCAACACCAGTGTCATTGCGATTTCAGAAACGACATCTAATTCAACGAAAATGTTTCCAGCCTCTTGACTCATGCAAAGTGCTTTTTTGTGATATTCTCTAGCCTTTGAATAATCACCAAGAAAATGAAGCACGGTTCCAAGTATTCCGCCACAAAGAGCTCTTCCATTTTTGTCAGCAATTTCTTCAGTGATAGAAACCGCTTTTTCGAGATACTCTTTAGCCTTGGCATAGTCCCCAAGGTCGCGTGAACACCCTCCAAGGTTTAGATAACCTGACGCTTCTGTTGTCCTACAACCAATTTCTTTTGCGATCTGTAATTGGTTTTCGTAATGTTTCTGAGCCTTCTCACAGGCACGACAAAACAATGCTCCCAAGGAACCATGACATAATGCTTCCTCATTCCGGCAGCCAATTTTTTTGGTCACTCTAAGTGCTTCTGTTAAATGTTCTTTAGCCTTGGAGTAGTCACCGAGACGTTTAAACAAAATTCCTAGAGATAAAGAGGATGTGGCCACGCTTTTCTTGTCGCCCATTTCTTTTGCAATTGCAAGCGCTTTTTCGAAATAATCTTTAGCCTTTGCATATTCACCGCGGTCCTGTAAAACTGTTCCTAAGTTTTCGTAACACGAGACTTCTATTGCCCTGTTGCCAATGTCCTTTGCCGTTGCGAGGGCTTTTTCGGTACATTCTTTAGATTTTGCCAGTTTACCGAGATTATATAACACAGTTCCCAAATTACAATAACACGCGGTTTCATTTTCCTTGTCTCCAATCTCTTTTGTGATTGCAAGTGCCTTTTCAAAATATTCTTTAGCCTTGGCATTGTCGTTCAATAAACCTGCCAGGTCTCTGTAACAATAGGCTTGCGTTTTCCTGTCACCACTATCTTCTGCGATTTTAAGTCCCTTTTCGAGATGTTCTTTGGCCTTGTCATATTGACCAAGGGAAATAAACACATTTCCTAAGCCTGTGTAACATAAAGCTTCGTTTTCCCTATAGCCGATTTCCTGGCGGACGGCAATCCCCTTCTCGTAATTTTCTTTAGCCTTGGCATATTCACCGAGAGAGGCGAATACATTTCCCAAGTTTCCATAACAGACGGCTTCTCCTCGTCTGGCCTCAACATTTTTTGAGATTGCAAGTGCCTTTAAAAGATAATCCTTAGCCTTGCCATTCTCACCCAGAGCATTTAGAGTAACCCCTAAGTTGAGGTAGCATGATCCCTCTCCCAGAATCGATTCCGTGGCTATCATGATGCCCAGTGCCTTCTCATAGAACGTTTTTGCTTCTTGATATTTACAATGGAGCAAGTGCAATGTCCCCAGCTTTAAGTAAACCCTCCCTTCTTGATCTTTGTTCCCACTTTCGCAAGCTAGGACCAGAAGCACTCTACCACATTCCACCGCATTTGTAAAATCATTGAATGAAACGTACCATTCGAAGACTTCAAATAGTAATTCTTCGTACATTAGTTTAAACAATTGGTTTCCCTCTTTAAAAGCTTTTTCTTCAAGGACAACCAAGCATTCTTTGAGTATCTCTATGGCTTTACGAATACGGCCAGAGTTAAAAAGGAAAACGGCGACAATAGGGCCAATAAGAAGCGCCTCCTCGACTTCGAACATGGCGGTATCAAAGTTCTTATGTGAAACAAGACAAAAAAAACGAAAAAGTGAACGTCAAATATTTTGAGTATCATGATGAGGTAAGAGTACTTAGTTTTAAAAAAGTATTTTATAATGGATCATGGTATAAATAGATTCATTCGCATTACCTAAGGGATCGTAGATGGATCTTTCGATAGAACAGACAGTAAGCATTGAAATCTGAGTATTTCAAAGAGGAGTGTTTTCTAATCAGAATACAAGGAAAGGGTAATCTTGATATTTCATGACTCCTTTGGTAAGTGATGCAGGGCAAATTTGTCAAGTGAAAGGTCAATTCATAAAGTAATTTCATGTGAGAAAATGTCTCGGTATAAGGCGGAAGTTGATCTGACTTATAAGGGAGCTTAAGGCAACGATGAAGACGATGGTAGTGAAAACGTCGCTACAAAAATAAATCTGCGTCCTTTCGAACTTTATCGCGTCTATTTGCCAATTTTCTAAATACTCCGGTATCAAATCCATTTATAGAACTGAAAAGGTTTCACAGTTTCTAATCACCTCAGGCCTGAACGTCTTTCACTTTGCAAACTGAGAAGAAATTGAAATCAATTTTAAATATGTAGCCGTCCTTAAATTCCGGGAAAACAGGGAACTTAAGGACGAGGGGGCACCTATCGCTTTTAAATACAATTGGTAAATCGCGATGACGACGATTGTAGTGAAAACGTCGCTAAGGTTGCGTCCTTTCAAACTTTATCGCGTGTATTTGCACCCGCTGAATTCATAACATGTACGCGACTTCCCCTGGAGTTGAATTCTTAAGGACTTTATTCAGCTTCAACATGAGAAGTGAAAATTTGTCTTATAGACAAATGGAATTAATAGCAGTTCGGAATCGCAAAGAAATTACCTCAGTCAACAGCAACTAAATATAGCCCGGGCACAGCAATCCGTGAGAACAGGAAGGACGTTATTACCGGCTGTCTCTAGAGAGAAGAAAGAAAATAAGCACTTTTATGATATTTTAACTCGATGCCGAAATCTAGTTTCTAGTCACTCATGCATGGGCCAATAAAAAGACATGACTAGATAAATGCAAATGTGCTTTGCCACAGAATTAACTAGCAAAAAATCACTGATGAGTCCACAGTCTCCGCCAGTTACAAGTTATAGTTTAAAGTTTGTGCTTACCACAACAGCTGTAGTTTGCGGACTGAGAGTTCGTTGAGTAATGATCCTAAAGTGATGTTGATTTATAGCGGTCGCTATAAATTGGACTAAGATATGTAATGAACTCAAAATATAACAGACTTTTTGATGGTCAGTGGTCGCAATAAACTATTTTTAGCCCTTCGGGAACACTGAAAACCGCAAAACATCAAAAAGGATCTTCCTGAATACGGAGAAACCGAGATAAAAATCAATGGAAAACGAAAACCGCATACTTGCAGAGGGGAATCCCCAAATCCGGCTCTATTCTACTATACTCATGTAAGGGAATCTAAGACAGTAAGTCTTGGATTCTGGATTACACGCCATGGATTCCAGGCACTGGATTCCGGATTTTTTGACAGTGAAACTTGGATTCCGGATCTCAATCATAAGTGGGATTCCGGATTCTTTGAGCTGTATTCCAGATTCCAAAGCCCAGGATTCCGGATTCCACAATTCAAACTTTCAGATTCAAGATTTCACGAGCAAAAACTTCCCGGATTGCCTTAATTACAGTTCATGGGGCGAATTCTACTGTCCAAGAAAACTTGTGGATGTTCGCACTTACTTGAGCGAGCTCAGCTCTACAGAATCACGACAAAAGCACCACTTCAATTCAGATTACGTTACTAATACACCCACCATTCACGGACAGGTTTCGAAGTCCCTACTTAAAGCAGTTACATTTTCTCGGAATTCAACCCGCGCAGACACTCCGTTAATACGGACACTCATGTATGACTTCCTTATGATCTGTATTAACGGGGTTTAACAGTTAAGTCGAGTCAGTGATATTAAATGGAACAAAAAAGTTTGGCCATACCACAAATTCCGCGAAAAATATAGTTCCGAAATTTATGAAATTGTTAAGTTCGACACAGCAAAATAATACTACGTCTGAATCGCTAATGAGCATCTTTGAAACAAGGTCTCCAATATTCTCGTACATTACCACGATCGAGTGGCCCGGGCCTTGGCTTCAAACGTATCAAGGGAGGGTGTGTGTGTATTTGGTGAGGAGAAGCCATAGCTAGTTATTTAAGTGGAATGGTTATGAAACCCATTAGACTCTTTAGTTGCATGTTTTTGTTTGCTTTTTTGGACCTGACCGCGCACAACGTTCAAAAGTATTCCTATCATTTCGAACTTACTGACCAACATCGCATTAATTTATTCAGTCACAATTTGTGAACAAAAAACAAAGGATTGTGCACAGTCACGGAGCTTTCAACATAAACTAAAGCACCGTTGTTTTAAAGTCTGATATTTACCGGTTCTCATAACCAGTCTCTTCCACTAACTATATGATTTGACGATACTGATATCCTGTTTTATTTCTTTTGTATTTTGTTCAAGTAGCAGCAGTATTTTTGATTTAAATAACGGACACTCCCGATCATGTATGGCTTCCTTATTATCCGTATTAACGGGGTTTGACTGTGATAAGTTGAGTCAGTGGTATTAAATAGAACTAAAACGTTTGGCCACACCACAAATCCCGCCAAAAATATAATTCCGAAATTTATAAAGCTGTCAAGTTCGACAAGGCATATATAATCGCATATTGGCATATTGAATCGCCGCTGTGCCAGTGTCGTGGTTCACGGCAAAGCTCGTCGAACTTAATTGCTATGTCAAACCGAATTCAAAACACTGATTCAAACGCTGTGTTTCTGCCGTGCTTTTGCCGAACTAGCGGCTAGCGAGTAAGTTAAATTTAGTTATTAATTAAGGAAATGTTAGAGCCGATTATTCAAACAGAGTATTTAACACACGGCCGCGTTCTGAGCCATTAGGGACTTTAAGATCCAACGACGGCGACGAGAACGACGCTTGAAAAGTGAATTTGCGTTCTTTCAGTCTTTATAGCGATTATTCCTAACCACTTACTTTGCCAAATGTAGGCGAACCCTCCTGAAGCTGAATTTCAAGGGACCATATTCAAGCTCAGCAAAAGAAATAAAATTTCGTCGTTGCTTATTTACGTCCTCCATAAAACGCGAAATTAGGCATTTTCACGTCGTACTCGTGAAAAAATGGGAAAGAAATGTACGAAAAAGTGTGATGCACGTGCGAAGTTGTTGTTTTGTTAATCAAACCTTTTGTTTTTTTTTTTTGACGTTCTCGTTGCCGTCCGCGTCGTTGAATCTTAAAGTCCATATGAAAAATTTCAATAAGGCATTTTGCTTTGACTAAAACAGCACTTATTTTTTTAGTTTAACCCACCAGGAAAGAAATCTGAAGGTCCAACGTTTTCTTAAACAGCAGCCTATGTTATAGACTTCGCTTGAATAACCGACTAACCATCAACGCCTTACACTTTCCAACAGGAGAAGAAATTGAAATCAATTTTTAATAAGCCTTCCTCAAATTCCAGGAAAACAGCAATTTCTTTTGGCTAACTTTGATTATACGGATGAGTAACACTGTTTGCATGAGAAGTGCTTTTACTTTGAAAAAAACTGCAGGATTTTATCAAAATCAAACAAATGTTTAAGCGACAAAAAAAGATAACATTTACAGCACTTTCCAATATGAGAAGAAATTGAAATCAATTTTTAATTAGCCTTCCTCAAATTCCGGGAAAACAGCAATTTCTTTTGGCTAAGTTTGATTACACGGATGAGTAACACTGTTTGCTTGAGAAGTGCTTTTACTTTTAAATTTAGTAAAACTGAAGGATCTTATCAAAATCAAACAATTGTTTAAGCGACAAAAAAAGATAACATTTACAGCAAATGATGTTGTAAATAACATCTGGGCTCTATATTTGACAAAATTACTAGTAGACTCATACATTAACACTTGAAAGTCAATCGCGGCTTTTGGTACAACTGGCTCATATTTATTAAACGCAAGTGTATGGTCATAAAGTCAGTAGCCACGCACCTCTCAATAACCTCTTATTTTACTGGCTTTCCATGAACCATACATAGCTTGCACTGCTATTGTTTCAGGGTTAGGGTCTGTTTCATGGTTTTCTCAGCCAATATTGCTAGGATATGTTACAAGAGGTGCGAGCCGCCTCGATAAAGTTCGCGGTCTGTAACGCAGGCGAGTTTACGAATCAGATACTACCCACTCATGTCGCAAGTATATATTTTCAAGAACGACAACTTAAAGACTGGCATAGAAAAACAAGTCTGCAGGCTCTTTTTTGCGTCACAGGTGAATAAGAGGCCGAATGACAATTTGAGACGGTGAAGTGACGGAGGGTAGAGATCTGTTTGGCTAGCACAGGACACCGAAGCAATGGCTCTTGACCGAAGTAATTACGATTTTGCCTTCATTACCCAGAAAGACACCCACACAAGAGTAGATACAGGGGCCTGCAGGTCAGCATGGACCTAAAAGCCAGTTTATTGCAAAATTACAAAAACAATTTATAATTTAATTTGTAGTTAAACTGTAATTAAGATTACAAGACCGCACTTAACTGCAAAACACTCTATGACGAAAAATACACCTCTGAAAAAACAGGTACGACACCGCCAAATACGAAAAACAAAATTAAACCACTTTGTGGAGGAACGTATTACCCCGCCTGCTGAAATCAGATGCGGTGCCGACAACTCTGAAGCAGAGGTACGCAAAGCTAACTACTGCCAAATGCCTACAAAAAAATTTCACAAAATTGATGAACAAAATAAAGTTAGGAGCTCTAACGAATGCTGACCTAAACTGATTCAAATTTGCGACGTACAAATTAGCCTGTGCACAGACGTCCCCCTCCCTCAAGAAAAATCGGGAGAGGAGACCTCTCCCGATTTTTCCTGAGGGAGTGGGGACGTCTGTACACAGGCTACGTGCAAATCTCGGAAAGCTACCCACAATTCCTCCTAACCGGCTCAGTCCTCTGGTCCGTGCCTGCAGAATAGCTTTCTGTCTGTACCATTTTACTACACTGTCAGAAATACCATTTTCTGATTAGTGCCTAATCTTCTGGGATAATTTTTCTCTACATTTGTCTCGTCTCTCCAATCAGTTGAATTTTCCTCTATAAATGGATGACTTATCTAGACGGATAATCGTAGTGTACTACAAATTTGGAGAAGTGATGATTCAGTCTACGTTGGACTTCTAAATGGTATAGAATGTAAAGGGGTAAAAAAATGATCGTTTCGAATCCGAATTAATCAACTTTAGTAGCTCGAAATAGTCATCTACTGACCGACAAACCTGGGTAAGACGTTGCCTAAGTCCTAGGCCTCATTATTGCGCGCAGTCGATGCGTTTCGGGTCACGTGGTCCGAGAGAGTTTTTAAGACGTCACCCGATGAAATGCATTGACCGAGAAGGCCTAGGAAGACGTTGCGCAGGGACTAGGCAAGATTCGACGGTACGCTCATTGTACCCCGTTCTCTTTATCACTGCTTCCGCATTGGGATTGCTTTAGGTATTTTGACGTGATGATTTTTTTCACTCCATCAGCTCTTTGTTTGTTTGTTTTTCTTCATTTGTTTGTTTTTGTTTTTCAGGAAATAAATCTTTATATCTTGTAAATGTTTCATTAAGGAGGGTTTAATGAATTTTAAGGAAACAAAGAAAACTCCAAAGATTTGCCGGGTTTGACCAAAGAAATGCAAGCGCAGCGTGCAATAGACCTTCAGCGCATTCCGCTCCAGTGAACAAACATAACGAAATGAGGTCGAGGTTCGGGTTGACAATTTCACTGTATTTTGTCCATCCAGGCTTACAGAAACACGGGAAAGGTCTAATGAATTGACTCCTAATTTTCTAGAATCAAATTGAGTGTACTCAAAACAGAACGAAGGGTTTACACGAAGTTATTATTTATTCCAGCCGAAAGATCTGAAAGACACTGTACACCTTACAACTTAATATACTGTATACCCAAGTTAAACTCTGGTCGACCCTGGGGCTGACACCCAAAATGGCCTTTGTAAACATTTCTGAAGGTCTTGAGAAGTATAACTGGCGATTAAAATCTATTAGCAGTAACTTTATAATAAGTAGGGAAACTAAGAAATCAAAACTTATCGACGGATATGATTACGTAATGCTCTTGATGGAAGAGAACTGTATTAGAACTCAATCATATACTACTTAACATCTAATATAAATGTGTTTCTGTTGCTGAAGACATTTTTACTATAAAAATGAAGAAAAGTCAAACAAAAAAGGAAAAAAAATCGAAGTCTTGAATCACTTGGATATGAGGTCTTCACTCACTCGATACGTGTCTCGGTTAAATATCGTCCCCGCTGATTAGATCGAGCGTTAACCACAACTACCTTAATTAATACTTTTAACACACTGACGGACAATATCTACACTCTAACCCATTGGTATACACGTGTAGAGGTCCTTTTTACTATAACAGAAATAAAAGAACTGAGATCTTGAATCGGTTTGTTACGTAAGTCTTTTCTCAAACGCATCAAGCTTGGTGAATATACATTCCATCAGGGTAGACACAACACCTATAAAGGAAACAAAATCACTTCGTTAACCTTTGCTGCTATGATTTCGAGACATGCAGACTGGGGCTACGATCGTGGTATTTTTTTGAGAAGGTAGGGGAGTAGAAAGGAGGAAGGAAGATGGAAGATGCTCATAAGCTTCTGAACATAAGCTGATCAAGCTGTTCAGTAAGGAAGGGAAAAGGGTTCTGGAGCCATGTTAGTTGTCAGCAGTAATGCATAGTGTCCTGGTCTTTTCTCTTTTGCTCTCCGGTATTGGAGTTTTGATACACTTATTTCTCTTTATTGACTGGACGACAAAAAGTAGAAAGATCTTCAAGTATAATAATAATAATAATAATTTACCAATTTATATAGCGCGTATTTACATGTGCTGATCAATAGCGCTTTACAATCATATGTTTAAAAGAAAACGAAAATACATTACCGTGAGAATAAAATAAACTAAGTTACAGACTATAAAAATACTTCTTAAAAAGATAGGTTTTAAGTCGAGATTTAAAACTGTTAAGTGATGTTGTCTGACGAAGCTCCACAGGTAGCTCATTCCAGAGTTTCGGAGCTGCTGCTGAGAATGATCTTGCTCCCAATGTTGTAAGCATCTTTCCCTTGGGATGGTCCAATAAGAGCTTACCAGTAGACCCTAAGATTATATAATGAATTCGATTTTATACTAATAAGATCGCTAAGATAAGTTGGCGCTAGGCCATAAATACATTTGAAAGTCAAAAGTAAAATCTTATAGTCAATACGCAAAGAAACCAGCAGCCAGTGCAGCTCATAAAGCGCCGGTGTAATGTGAGAAAACTTTCCAATGCCAAGAATAAGTCTTGCTGCTGCATTTTGTACACGCTGTAATTTAGCGATCTGCACGTTTGGTAAGCCAAACAATAAACCATTACAATAGTCAAGACGGCTGGTTATAAAAGCATGAACCAAAGTAATTAAAGAATCTCTCGACAGGTATTTCTTAATACGTCTCAAGTTATGTAAATGATAAAAGTATATTAAGAATGTACTTGGGAAAAACGCAAAGAAGGTTCATCTGTATTTATGGTGGTCCCATGAGATATAACAAAAGAAGCAAGCAACAAAGCAACACTTTTTGTTCCAGAAAACAAAAATGTCCGTCGGAGCTACGCATTAAAAATAAAGTATGGCGTAAATAAACACTGAAGAGTCGAGTCGATTTTTTTCCCGCATATAGGTACATTATCTCGAATCAGCATAAATGGCGCCCAATGACCAACATCAGAGAATCCGTTTGCGCTCATCCACTTCATGGCCTGATGAAGAGATTCACAGGCACTTTCCCCACTAACAAGGTTCTCGTAGAAACGACTCATGAATTTCTTTGTTGCTTTGCCATTTATGGCCCATAGTGCCACTAATACTGAGCGTGCACCAGATCCCAGGAACGCATGAGCAATTCCAACAACTCCCTCGGCACTGATGCGTCCACTTGCGCTGTGGCAACACTGCTAAGGACAACCAATTTGGCTTGCAGTCGAACTTGTGAGATGTCGGCCATTGTCAATATGTAGTCTTCATCTCTCGGTATCTCTTCTTCTCGCGCTTTCTCTTCTCCTGGTTTCCAATAAAAAGGGTGCATAGGAGCAAGAATGATTTCTCCACGTTTCGTCATCATTAGCAGCGAAATGAATAACACTTGCAGTATTAATTCTTTGAAGAACCGCCTCTTTTTTTGCTTTTTCTTCTAGCAAAGGAAGAACTTGGAGTTGTTTGCCAATTCTCTCTGCTTTTTTTCTAGCACGAGACAGTGGCTTTGCCTGGATTTCATGGTCCCCATAGCGCACCAGACCAACATAGGGGCCTCCTATAATCAGTGCTCCAGTCTGACTGTGATAGTCTCATGGACTGTCCTGAATGAGCTTAATAGTCAACAATGAGGGAATGATGCGGATCCTGAAGGAATCTGATAAATACTTTCCTCTTTCATCCTCCAACGCTGCAAACGGTACTCTGAACAAGCAGCGATTGGGAACAATTATGATTTCGGTTTCATCACAGAGGCAGTCAGCTAACGGCTCGAGAAACAATTTGTAACATTCAGCAAAGACTCAGCAAGAGTAAGTACTGCGATGTTGTTCATCATGTTTTTGATGCTTGACTTGGGATGGAAACCAAGATCGATCTTCACACTGCTCACGACGTAGGGAAGCTACCTTTTGTAACCATTCGCTGTCAAACACGTCACCCTCCTTTTGTTTCGTATTTACTTCTTGGAAACGAATCATGCCGTGCCCAGTTCGCCTCGCTTATTAAAAAGCCAAAGAAACAGAGAATTGACAAAGAAGGAAATGTACAGGAAGGAACAGTTATTTCCAATGTTCATACGCCTTTCAACAGCACCCCAAAAAAGGTCATTAGCATATACTTCGTTTTTTACGTAGCACTGAGCTGCATGACATTGAATCTGCTAGGGCTCTGGCTCGTCCAAGCTCAACAACGTGAAGACCTTTGACACAATTATTTCTACTGCAAAACAAGGCACTTGGAGAGCAGTATTCAAGAACATGCTGGTCAAATAACGATATCTTTAACTGACTTTCGATGTTACCTTTAAGGGAACTTCCTACATTCTCGAACTTAGCAATATTACTAGCCAAAAGATAGGAGCTAGCTTTCTCTATTTTGCCCTCAAACACTAGTTGCGATTCCAGAAACGACACCTATTTCCATTGAAATGTCTCCAATCTCTTGACTGATGCAGCTTTCTTGTGATATTCTCTAGCCTTTGAATAATCATCAAGAAAATGAAGCGCGGTTCCAAACATTCTGCACGAAGCGACCACTCCATTTATGTCACCAATTTGTTCAGTTATCAAAACTGCTTGTTCGAGATACTCTTTAGCCTTGTCATAATTTTTGGAACTGATGCTAGGCTTTCTAAAGCTATTGACACAGTAGCTATCAAAATAGGTGATTATGAAATTAATAGAGTTTATGATTTTAAGTATTTAGGCATCGTTCTTGACGATAGTCTTACGTGGAAAGACCATGTTCGTTATGTTATTTCTAAGGTGGGTAAAAGAGTTGGTGTCTTAGGGCGCCTTAGAAGGAATATCACTATACATGCAGCTTTCGAGATGTATAATTCATTAATTTTGCGCATTTTTGATTATTGCGATGTTGTTTGGTCCAGCTGCAATAAAGCAGATATGAAAAGTCTTGAATCTTTGCAAAGGCGGGCCTCGAAAATTATACGTAAATCTAAATGTGGTACAACATCCACCGACTATCTTAAATTTCAGAGTTTAGAAGATCGCCGTAACGCTCATATTTTAGGTTTATTGAAGAGGTGTTTAAATAATAATGTACCACAGTTTTTAAAGAATTATTTTAAGTTGAATAAGGAAGTTATTTCAAGAGAAACAAGAAGAAGCAATTTTATGTACTTACCTCCGGTAAGAACTGAGACCGCCAAGAAACGTTTTTATTATAATGGCTCAGTTGTGTATAATGATTATTTAGTAAATAAGAATTAGATTTTAATTGTTATACTGTACTATTATTAACTTATAGTTACTTAGTTTCTTATTATTTATTTTGAACTTTTTTATTAGTCTTAATTTAGGGCTCCTATTGATAACAGATATACTTTTAAGTATTCTGAAGGGATTACCCTAGTTAAATAAAGGTTTACTATAGTCTCCAAGTCCACATGTCAACTCTCCTAGGTTTAGATAACCTGACGCTATAATATCCCCGCTACCACTTTCTTTTGCGATCTTGACGTGGTTTTCGTAACGTTCTTGAACCTTTTGACTGGCATAGGAAGACAGATTTCCGAGTTAACCTTCTAATAACGCTACTTCATTCCTGGCGCCCATTTTTTTTTGGTCATACGAAGCGCTTTCTCTAAATGCTTTTCACTCTTGGAGTACTCACCGACACTTTTAAGCGATATTCCTAGAGATAACGAAGATGTAGCCTCGGTTTTCTTGTAACCAGTTTCTTTTGCAATTGCAAGCGCTTTTTCGAAGTAGTCTTTAGCCTTTACATATTCACCGCGAGGGTCTGAGAAACAGTTCCTAGTTTCCGTAACAGGAGACTTCTATTTCCCTGTTGCCAATGTCCTTTGCCGTTGCGAGGGCTTTTTCGGTACATTCTTTAGATTTTGCCAGTTCACTGAGATCATATAACACAGTTCCCAGGCCAGGCTAGATAACACGAGGCTTCGTTTATGTCGACTTGTCGCCAATATCGTTTGTGATTGCAGGCGCCTTTTTATAATATTCTTTAGCTTTGGCATTGTCATGAGACTTCAACAAATTTCTGAGGTTTTTGAAACAAAAGGCTTGACTCTTCCTGTCACCACTTTCGAGATGTTCTTTAGCATTGTCATGTTGACGAAGAAAATTACACACAGATCCTAGGTTTGCGTAACAGAGAGCTTCGTTTTCCTTGAATCCAGTTTTCTGTCGAAGTGCAAGCGCTTTTTCGTAATATTTTTTAGCCTTGGCATATTCACCGAGAGAGTTGAATACATTTCCTAGGCTTCCATAGCTGCGGGATTCTCCTCGTCCATTGTTAAGCTTTTCAGCTATTGCAAGTGCCTTTTCGAGACATTCTTTAGCCTCGAAATTCTCACTAAGGGAATTTAGAACAGCTCTTAAGTTGAGGTAGCATGATCCCTCACTTACTGCTGATCCAGCTGCTATGTTGATATTCCCTGCCTTTTCAAAGAACGATTTTGCTTCTTGATATTTACAGTTGAGATAGTGCAATTTCCCCAATTTAAAGTACACCATCCCTTCTTGATTTCTGTCCCCAGTTTCGTTAGCAAAGACCAAGAGCTCTCTACCGCATTCCACAGCATTTGCAAAATCATTGACTGAAAGGTACCCTTGAAACATTTGGACATATAGAATTCCGTACATTAATTTAACCAGTTCCGTTTCCCCTTTTAAAGCTTTGTCTTTGAGGAGAATCAAGAATTCTTTGAATATCGCTATGGATACCTTTACGAATACGACTAGAGTTAAGAAGCAAAGTAGCAACAAGATAGCCAATGACAAGCGCCTCCTGCACTTCGACCATGACGATGTCAAAGTTCTTCTGGAAAAAGATAAGCGTTCAAGGGAAAATTAAATAAATATTTATAGGATAGCTAGAGATATTTTAAGCTACTTTGTCTTAAAATAGTATTCTGCAACAGATCATTATTTTGTTGGTAGATTGTTTCGACTTTCTGATACATTATATACATTTTCTTCTCCCTTTTGTTCATATCTTGAATCAGGCTCGTTAAAACCAACAAAAATCTGGGATTATAAGTGCATTCACAGGGTCCAGAGGAGTTCCGTGTGAATAAATGAATTACTTACCTTGAAAAATGTCTATACCTGTCGCTTAGCACGATTGATTAGCCCGATGGGATCTTTATAAATCTACTGTAAACGATTTCTTCGCTTCTTATCTGACCCAGATCGACTTTTGAAAATCAATAACCGCAAGCCATTTCCTCGCTGGCGCACGGCACGTCGCCCGAAGGGCGATCGAGGCACGAAGTGCCGAGTAAAATAAAGGACAAGGGAGGAAACTTGTACCACGTGACTTCGTTCGCTGTGAACCGCATCACTCGGTGACGGAAGTGAATGAGACCGGAAATGCAAAAGCAACAGACCGCTGCTAGTTCGAGAATCAAAACATCAGCTGCGGAGAGAGTTTTAAAGATCTCAGAGATCTATGCGAAAGCAACAGAGTTTTAATTAAAGTGAAGATCTTTCAAGACTGGGCATTTGTTGTACGTTTCAACAGTCTTCGATGTCTTAAGCAGGTTTTGCTTGTGCGAAGGCTTCCCCGTAGTCGCAAAACGCACAGCCCAAGACCCAAGAGGTAATTTAGTTGGACCACCGAAGAATGGCACAGTCGTGATGATATTACAGTTGCCTTGTACGTCCGCTCTACTCAGTGTCACTTTTTATTGAAAGAGTACACACGACCCGTAAATCACTATCCGTAATAAATGTATTTACATTCGGCGGAGCTAAACGTAGTGGCAGTGACAAAGAATGTAAAGACTTTCCTATTGGTATGAACGCACGTGAGCCGTTATGGCGTTAATTGACTCTATTGTTATTAGGTATATAAGGTTTTGACAGTTGTAATGTATTCATCTCAGCTCTCGAACTATCAACTTTTATTTTTTTTATATCTTACTTTATTCATCTATCGATTGATTTTTTACCTTTAACCCCCAGAGGTTGTGCGACCGCATCGGTTGGGGAATACGTTCCCAATTTTTTTCCCATTGGGTTTTTGGGTATTCGTATCAGGCGGCGCACGTGAATAGTTTAGCCTGAGTGACTTTATTTAGGAATATTTGTATACCATTCTTTAGTTATGATGTTGAACTTTGTATGATATTTGGACGGCATTAAACACTCAGGCTCCTTAGTTCGAGCTGCACACCCACTCCCGTCTCTTAGTCGTGAATATAAATAGGAATTTAACATTCTCCAAACAAAACTAACAAGCTGGGCCCAGCGTGATACAGCATTGAAGAAAAAACATTACATTCACGGACTAAAGAAAATCGCTTAGTTATTCAGATCCAGAAGGCACTTTGGAGAAAATTGGAATCCTTGTTCAGCCGTAATAAAAAGCTTTACGCTTCAAAAGAGGTCAAAGAAAATGCGCTTGCATCAGAGCAGGGTCGTAAAGGGGTATATTTTCTCCCGCCTGATCCTACATTTCGACCTTAAATTTTGATCCCTGATCCCAAAATTGCTGCAAATCTTGGTCCCTGATCCCATGAAAATTTTTTGATCCCTGGATTCAATCTGGGTTGGATTAGCTGCATATCATATAAAAACTACGGAAAACTAGACACCTCTAGTCGTGCATCACCATCTAACTACATGTATCCTTGTAGACGCGTAAGAATGTCTGCGGGTGAGGCTTTGTAGACTACTCAGTGTGCGTAGCTTCAGGGGTGTAGCCTGAGATCTTGAAGGTGTACGATGCGGTGATGAAGATTTGCAGCACCGAAGGTGGCCCAGCCTAGGGGAGTCAGGGAGCATGCTCCCCCGGAAAATGTTCAAATTTTGGGTCTCGGAAATGCTATTTCCAGCATTTTTTGCAGTGATTTGATACGCAGGAAAATGCAGTTAGTTAGTTATTGTTTACTTTACCTATCTCTAGAGTTGTCGGTAAGGTAGATTCTTCACTAAAAAAGGCGAGTGACACCCTCAGAATTGTGGAATAATAAAAGGATAACTGAACAATCACTAACACAAAGTCACCAATATAGTAAGAACGAGGTATCAGTCATCTCGATTTTCAAGCGATAAAAATGCTTTTTCAGGAAACAATTTTTACACCAATGTATTTTCTTATCTTAGCTGTACGGGCGCATGTGCGTATATAGACGCTACGCTCCTCAGAAGCTCCTGCTCCAGCAAAATGAGATCTCTTTGGGCAAAGATTGGCTTGATCAGCGATCAAAGTAGCTACAGAATTCTACAAGACCATGATGATAAGAGAATCCCCATCACAACAGGCGTATGAGCAACAACGGCTTACAATGCTAGTATAAAATTGAAAAGGTGTAGCGACAAGAAATTTAAAAGGAATATGGCTTCACAATTTTGCATCAATTTATTTCCAGATTTATGCGGATTTTGTTTCCTAGATTTTGGACGATTCGGCTAGATCGGATTGCATACAGTTTAGTACCGGATCCAAATGTTACAGCAAAAATATAAATGAATTTTAAAACGTTGGCAGGTCCCTCCAATTAAGGCCCATTTCAGAATTTTGTGGTCTTGGTTGTTATATTCGAGAGAGGAACCGGGTCCCTGATCCCCTTACAGTACTACTAAACCCGATCTCACAGCTTGTGATCCCAGATCCCGGCGCTGTGATCCCTGATCACATATACCTCGTTAAGACCCTGATCAGAGGGCAAATCCTGCCGACCAGAAACAATAACCTCAGTAAATCGATATGTGTCATGACCCCTCAGTGTGAAACATGCGGCTAAAATCCCCGCTAAAATCACATTTGCTGTAGAACCTTCCCGAGCATAATCTACCCAGCAGAGGAAAAAAACGTTATTGGAACGAGCAGCATTTTTGGCTTGAGCAAAGGTCGTGTAGGCTTCCCTTTTATTGCTCCGTTCTTGAGCACGTTTACTTTACTACGTCATTTCCGTCACCATCCGTTGCGGTGCACAGCGAACGAAAGCGCTATTTCGAAGCCGTAAATTTCGGTCGCCGAAAATGAATTTGAACGCTTTTTTATGCCGTTTTCCTACAGTATTTGGCAAATACATAAGAATTCTAGATCAGGTTAGTAAAATCAGGCGATTTCATTCAATTCCATTTGAGTTTCAGGGATTCGAAAATCGGCCCCAAATTTGTTTCCTCTCTTTCCGTATTTTATACTGTAAGCCGATCTTGCGAGCCCTCAGTCTCTTGGTTTGCGGTCTTTAGAATGTGTAACGAAACCGTAACGCGATCAAAATAACCCATTTTTTCAGAGGTTTTCGACGGGTTTTGATGTTCTAACGACAAACACATCTCCTCTGGACCCTGTGGTGCATTCGAATGTTCTAACCCGAATCGCCACAGAAGGGCTAAATTTGATATTTCTAAACTATCTTGCATCAGACTCGTTTCAAATTAAAGTGATGCAGAGCAAATTTGCCAAGTTTCCCGCCCAGAAGTAAAGAGAATTCATGTGAAAAAATATAGCGGTACGAGTGTGAGATACATTTTCATGCATTACATTACCTACATTAAAAGTATTAAATGTCTATGGTACTATTAATGTATTCGACGACATTAAAGACATCAAAAGTAAAAGTTAAAGTCGAAACCTGACGAACTAACCCTAATGCTTAATCAGTACTTTATTACAAATGTTAATTTTGTTACACTCACATACTTAAAGAAATTTTAGAATCTTTTTTAGTCTTATCTGAACCATGATTGGGAACTTTAACATTCACATGCAGAGATGGCTTAGTTGAACATGGCCGATACCACTTTTGACGATCTATTATCGCTTGAATTTATCCCAAGAGTAGCGATGAGGAAATAATATTCTAATAACGGCTACGAGACAAGTTGAAAAAAAAAAGCCGGTCGGAATCGCAATCGGTTACCAATCTCTAACTTATCTAGTTTCGCCATGAACGGATGGGTCAAAAAATTAAAAGCATCACAATAAGAAAGACAAAAACATAGTGTCGATGCATATGCATCTTAGCATAGAAATTGCAAAATTTTTTGTAACAAGATCGAAGTATCAGCGCATCAGTATCAAATACATTGCTTTTGTATTTGAAATATAAACTGAGTGAAAATTTATAAAAACGTTCTTGGTATAAAAGAATGAAAAAAGATATTTTGCTTCCCTACGAACCGAAAACAACACAGAATCTTAAAAAGATTAAAAAAAATAGCCCTTAAGACACTCCATGTAATGAAAATCTTCTTTTAGCAGAAGACGTAGATTAATACTATTCCGAGATTTTCCACAGTTATAATTGCTTTCCAGTGTACACCAGTTCACCGAAGTGAATATTCGCAATGTTCGATCGCCTGCCGGTTACCTGCTTAGTTCTGCAAACCGACAGTATCTCCAGCTGATTTCTGTTTTCGTTTGAACCGTAAATTAATAAGAATAATAATAATTGCCCCCGCAGGGATTTCGCCCAGAAGGCGAAATCCCGAGGAGGCACTCTAGAAACTCGCGCGTATATTAAGGAAAGTATTTACAGTTGAAATATACAGTCATACAATCAATATAGAAACAATCTCGATTTGCTTGAACGGGGGCCACGAGGAATCGGTCGGTAATGATGACGTTTCTATTGTTTGCGCCCGCAAGAACGAAATGGTTAGGATGACGTAAAACACAAAAAAATCCCGAAGGAACAGCTTATAATAGGTAGATTTTGTGACATGAATTGAACAGTCATACTTCGATACTCTTTTGCGTTACGTGTTATCAGTGACATTCTGTGGAGCAGTTGTTATGAAAGTTATGGACCAAAAGACACTCGTTAAGCGCAGATGAAGTTATAAGGT